GCATACACTCTTGCTATTAGTACACGTGCATGGCTTCAGTTTTACAGTGGTGTGCAGCTTCCAGTGTGTTACCTTCCAAGAGCAGACAGTAGAATCGACACCATCAGACATTACATGTGCTCATGATGACTTAGTTAGGCAGTGATTATCAATACTATTTCCACCTACCATTGCAACGTTAGGCATTTAATGTTATTTAGAAGTCAGGTAAGCATTCTTATTTGATTATTAAAGGTAAGCACCTTAGTGGCGCCTCACACGCTGCCCGCCACGCTTTACGATCAGCCCTCCGCCTCGCCCAGCATTGGCAGCTAGCTGAGAGAGCTGCAGGAGGCCCCAACCCTTGCTTTCTATTTTCCTGTCAATTAATTTTCATAATGAAAATAAACAAAGGCCCTTACCTATTACTATTTTTTTAATCCCAGCATGGCTTCTACAACATCTCAAAAGAAAAAAGAATCCCAGAAAAGAAAAATTATGGGTGAAGGAAGACTGTTCCATGAAAAGTGGATAGATGACTACGTTTTTGTCGAGGCAAATAGTAAGGCACTCTGCTTAATTTCTAGGGAATTTGTGCAAGTTTCCAAAGACTATAATTTGAAAAGGCAGAGTATATGAAAACATGCTGCCAAATTCAATGTGTATGAAGGATTGTGTAGTAAGGACAAAATAGAGGTACTGAAAAAAAAGGGTTTTCTGAACAAAAATTCTTTCAAAAGTTACAACTCGAGCAGATTCTATTGTAAAAGCTAGTTATGTGGTAGCATATTTAATAGCAAAAAAAAAAAATCAAAACCATTTACTGATGGTGATTTTATTAAACAATGTATAGAAAGTGTGGCAGATATAATTTCCCCTGAATAAACGAGGGATATTTCTAAAATCAGTTATAGCCAGGCAAACGGAAGAAATTGGAAAATCTATCAAAAGAAGTTTGGAGAGTAAAGCTGCTAATTTTAAGTTTTATGTTTTGGTGATGGATGATAGCACTCATGCTAAGGATATGGCTAAACTTGCCATTTTTATTAGAGGTATTGATGATGAATATAATGTCACTGAAGAAATGGCTTCTTTAGTGCCATTAAAAGACACAAGTAAATCAAGAGATTTATACGAAGCAGTAAAAAAATATGTTAAAGTGATATTCTTTGTCCATTGTCAATATATCTGGTATAGTTACAGATGGTGCACTGGCGATAGTAGGTAAAAGAGAGGGACTTGTAAAATTAATACAGGATGATGCAATTGCTGCCCAAAACTGACATTTGATGAAGCATCATTGCATAGTACATCAAGAAAATTTATGCACAAAAGCTTTAAAAATGGGTAACGCCATGCAAATCATCATCAAACTGTGAATTTCAGTCCTGGCTGGTGTGGCTCAGTGGATTGAGTGCTGGCCTGTGAACCCAAGGGTCACCGGTTCGGTTCCCAGTCAGGGCACATGCCTGTGTTGCAGGCCAGATCCCCAGCAGGGGACCCTTGAGAGGCAACCACACATTGCTGTTTCTCTCCCTCTCTTTCTCCTTCCCTTCCCCTCTCTCTAAAAATAAATAAGTAAATAAATAAATAAACCTATCTTTAAAAAATGTGGGTCAATGAAAGAGACAATCTTTGAAAATAACCAAGCACAGATGGAGGCCCTAACCTCAGAATTTGGGATAAATAATAAATAAAAAGCTCAATCAAGAAATTGGACAGCTCTGGTTTTGAGTTTTTCACAACTTCTTTTTTTATTTTAATCATCACACAAGGACATGCTTATTGACTTTAGAGAGGGGGGAAGGGAGGGGAAGAGAAAGAGAGAGAAACATTGATGTGATAGAGAAACATTGATTGGCTGCCTTGTATACAGCCCGACCGGGGACTGAACCCACAACCCAGGCATGTGCCCTGATCGGGAATCGAACCTGTGATCTTTTGGTTTATGGGATGATGCTTCAACTGAGCCAGATGCGCTGGGGCTTGGCAACTTCTTTAACACTCTCTGTGCCTTGGTTTGTTCAATTGTAGTGAAAATACTAATACCTACCTCATGGGGCTGCTGTGAGGAGTAAATGATTTAACACATACTGAGTCCTTTACACAGCGACTGGCACATAATGAGGACCCCAGGACATAGCAACTGCAAGGCTCATTGTTGCTATCCTCGCTGGCGCAGCCCTGCAAGCTCATCCCCTGCTGGGCAGAAACTGGGTATGGACACTACAGCTTGGTTCTGCTTGGGAAGTCAGATTGTTGCTGTGACTGACTTGCCCCTTCCTTTACTAACAGAAGTAGCCAGAGTTCTCATTTAGGCTTTGTTTCCCATTGGTTGAAACTGGTGTTGCCGTGGCAGCACTTGTAAACACTCCCTCTAGGAATCCTGGGGAAAAGCTGCTGAGAGACTCTTTCTGAGACTTCCCTGGCTACTACTGTTTCCAGCAAGGATGTGGTCACTCAGGTATCAGGGTCACTTGTTAAGGGTGGGAGGGCTCCACAAAAAGGACCTGCAGTGGTTCTCCCGATTCATCAGTCAGACCCTAAACTTGATGACATCCCTGACCCTTCACACCCATTCTGCCCTCCTCGTAGGACTGGAAGGGGAGAAAAAGAACAATGAGAGGCCAGTCAGAGGGACGCTTAAGAATGATGTGCGCCCACAGATGAGTGTGGATAAGATCTGATCTGCTTCCTGTTGTAGCACAGGGCTCCCTGGGGGAAGGTCTTAAAGAGGTGCTTCCATAGGTAAAACCCCAGCCTCATTTGCTTGGTGTTGGAAGGCATACATTTGGCTTCCAGTCAACTCATCAAGAGGGAATTTGCTGAAAGCCAAGTCACTGAATGACCAAATCACCAAATGGGCCATTTTCTGAAGGATCGAGTTACTGTTTGGACTCACTAAAGCATACCGAATTTACCAAAACAACCTATTGTTGTCTTTACCTATGGAGTTTACAGCAAATGGCTTTGGCCAGATCAGGCTGGCGAAAGCCAGTTCTGCGAGGTTAAGGACTCCCTCATCCTTTACCCTTCATTCAGCTTCTCCTCATTCCAAATGGGCAGCCTGGGAAGATTCCATTTCCCCCAGCAGATGGCCCTGTCCACCCCCCAGCCACAGCAACAGGGAACTGAGGCAGAGGAAAATGAGCTTAAAATGCTCATAAGACCCAAATGAACACAAGTCAGCATTATTAGCAGGAAGTTTAAAGGCTGTTCAAACCATTCCTGTACTGATGGCCACAGAAACAGGGCTGCCCTGTGCAGTTACCCACCATCAACAATAACGACGATGTTGAGAAAGGGAGCAAAAGGTGGCCCATTTTGAAAGAGGCTCACACAGAAAATGAGAACACTCTGGACCCCAGATGGAACAGGCCCCCATGACTCTTTGCGACAATCTTGGAGGCAGAAGAGCACTGTAGTTAAGAGCACGGGCTGCGGAGCTGGATGGCCCGGGTGTGAGCTTCACTTACCCCTTTCACGTAGGAACAAGAGCCCCTCTCTTTGTGCCCCATGGTCCCAGGAGACAACTGGTGGCATACTAAAAGCAGGGTAGGTAGGGAAGGATTAAGGGAATATTTACAAAGGTGCGGGCAGACAGTGGGGAAGTAAGGGCAAGCAGGGCAAGCACAGCTCCCCAGGGCCAGTAACAGCGCAGCCACACCAGAACTGGGAAGTCGTGAGAGCTGCCCTGGGAGAAGCAGGGGCCTTCCTGTCCAGACAGTCAGCCACAGGCGACCCCACTGGGGTCAGCCCCCCGGGGAATATATACCTCAACCCCACTCTCCTTCGTTCAGTCTGGTCTCCCCATTGTGCGGAAATTCCTGGGGAACAGAGGGCATGGGAGAGCCCATTGATGTAGAGCAGCGAGGTCAGCCTTCCAGGGTACAGGGCAGGGAAGATGGGGGAGAATATATCTGGAAGGGCCAATGGATGGTAGTTCATGATCTCACAGAGCTGTGGTGAGAGCTGAGGCACACTAAGCACCCCCAAATTGGGAGTTGCTATTTATAGAAACAAATAGCTGTCTTTGAAGAGATACCCATTTTCCTGCAGCACCTCCAATGCAAGGATTGCCTGCAAAGAATTTATAACTGTGCTAGAAGTAAGTGACTTTTCCTAAGTGAAGAGACTTAAGTATAGCTGAGAAAGAGAATCCACAACTCAAGAGAAAAGATGGAAAAAATATGAAAAATGTACAAAGACTCCTAGCTCTGCGAGGAACCCTTCACAGCCCTGATAATTCTAATTTTCACAATCTCAATAGATTTAAAAGGCATTTGGGAAATACTAGCTATCGTTTATTATGAACATCTTACTAAAAGAGGAGCAAATATTTTCTTGATGTGATAAATCTGAAGCCATAAACCAGCTGGTGTAATGCCAAAAAGCACATGCCCGTTGAAAGCAGACACAAAGGAAGGATGCTCCTTCTCTCTACTTTCACATACCATTTTTCTGGAAGTGATAACCAAAACTAATGCTTATATATTTCAGGAAAAGAGATGGTAAACATAATAGTTCCTAGCAGATAACATAACTGTATACCTGTGAAATCCAAGAGAAAAACTTGAGAAACCAACTCCTCCTATGCTACCTTGCTTCTAATTCTTTTGATTCACTTTACCTTTAAAGAGCCACATGCTCTCAGTTGCATCAAGCAGGGTTTGAGTTTCTATTAAAGATTCAGCTAGGGATCAGTAGTGTTAGAACTGCAAAGAAGGTAGGAATCATTCTACTACACCTTGAGTCTTCATGGTTGTGCAAATCTGAAAATCCTTGGTTTTCAGCAAAAGCAGATCTCAGTGGCCAGGCACAAAGGATCCACAGTGAGGCCTCACCCCTGCCCCAACCACTAATCCCCCTCCTGGAGGAAATAACCGTGTCCTGTCTCTTGTGATTCTTCAAGAGACAGTCTGTACTTATATGAGTGTGCATGTGCTGATGCACACACATACACACACAAGGTAACTTCTTGAGTTTCTTTTTCCAGCCACAAGAAAAAGAAGAAGCGTAGAATGGTCAGATTTAACAAAATAGTAGATGTGTATAACCATCCTCCGATCCTGTTGGTGGATAAAGAGAGCGATGTGACTAAACCAGCACCGAGTACAGAAGATTGCCGTGTGACTGCACCAGCAGCACGTAAAGGTCGCAATGTACCTAGACCAGCAGTGTCTACAGAAAGCACTGCTGTGATTAAACCAGCAAAGCCTACAGTAGACAGCAATGTGACTGCACCAGCAAAGCCTACAGTAGACAGCAATGTGACTGCACCAGCAAAGCCTACAGTAGACAGCAATGTGACTGCACCAGCAGTGCCTACAGAAGACAGCAATGTGACTGCACCAGCAGTGCCTACAGAAGACAGCAATGTGACTGCACCAGCAGTGCCTACAGAAGACAGCAATGTGACTGCACCAGCAGTGCCTACAGAAGACAGCGATGTGACTGCACCAGCAGTGCCTACAGAAGACAGCAATGTGACTGCACCAGCAGTGCCTACAGAAGGCGACGTGACTGCACCAGCAGTGCCTACAGAAGGCGACGTGACTGCACCAGCAGTGCCTACAGAAGGCGACGTGACTGCACCAGCAGTGCCTACAGAAGGCGACGTGACTGCACCAGCAGTGCCTACAGAAGGCGACGTGACTGCACCAGCAGTGCCTACAGAAGGCGACGTGACTGCACCAGCAGTGCCTACAGAAGGCGACGTGACTGCACCAGCAGTGCCTACAGAAGGCGACGTGACTGCACCAGCAGTGCCTACAGAAGGCGACGTGACTGGACCAGCAGTGCCTACAGAAGGCGACGTGACTGGACCAGCAGTGCCTACAGAAGGCGATGTGACTGCACCAGCAGTGCCTACAGAAGGCGATGTGACTGCACCAGCAGTGCCTACAGAAGGCAGCGATGTGACTGCACCAGCAGTGCCTACAGAAGACGGCGATGTGACTGGACCAGCAATGGATACAGAAGATGGCAATGTGACTGAACTAGCTCTGTATTTAGTTCAGAGTGCCATCACCGCTGCTGTTAAGACTGTGAAAGGTAGTAATCCTGGGTGGGCACCTAAGGGATTGTCTTGTTATATAATGTCACACTACCAGGCAACTAACAAATTCTCACCTTTTTTGCAGAAGAGGAGTACACCATCACAAATATCAAGTGGCTCACACACGGCGAATTCACACCAGAAAAGGCCCGTAAACAAATTGAGGAGTTCGTTTGGGTAAGTTTGTGGAGTACCCCAGCTTGGTGTACAAAGGCAAAGAACAATAAAAAGGCTCCTCTTTGATGGCAAGTTTAAAGTCCAGAATTCCTAGGAGATGATATGAAAGGCCACCAGATATCTTCATCTGGATTCCAAAATCAATATATGATAGTCTTTGAAGGTGAAAAGCACAACTCTATTTCCCTGTGCTTGTATCATCCTAACCTTACATTTCCTAGGAAAATCTGACATTCCCAGTTAAGCAATTTTCCCACCTGATGCTCCAAATGGGGACCTACTGGCCTAAGGAGGAAGTTGCTTTTCCCAAACAAGAGTTCTCCAACACCAACTTTAGAATTCTCAATATTAACAGAGGGGATGTACATGGATCTAGTCTTTTTGCTGTACCTTTGGAACACGCTGCTTGCACACTCAGATGCACAGGCTGGTGGATTCCTTTCTCTTCCTCCTGTGCCTGGCTCTGACCCATTCATGTGGCTTCACCTGGCGGCTCTGGTGAAAAGGCCCTGGGCTGGTCTGCATAACTGGCGGGTGGGTGAAGAAGCATGACCTGAAATCCCCACTCACTGTATTTCCTCAGAAGAGAGACCGGCTGAAATTGGTGGAGGCAAACTCCCAGCCCTGGGGGAAGTTTCCTGCTCTCTCTGTTCCTCTGGCCAGCCCATCACAAAAAGTGATGGCCCTAAGGGGCCCTAAGCTCTAGGCAGCCCTGGCCAGGTGCGAATGAGGAAAGACCAGGGATGTCTGGCTCCACACATTTTGTGTATGCTCCAGTGGGCGCAACTCACCATTCCCATTAGAAGGGGAATCTAGAGCATAGTGAAGATGAGTGGCGCAAAATCCTAGTTACTCTTGGTCCTTCTTGCTCTGAAGCACATCTCTACCTGGGGTTGGGCAAAAGTCCTTGCCTGCTGCACCCACGGTTTGTGAATCAGACTGGAATGGGACACAAAATAAGCAAGAAAATTCCCCCTGCAAAACTCACTGGTTATTCTGAATAAAAGGCCAGTAAGTCCTGACAGTGGCCTAAGGGGCCCAATGTGAGCTGAGTCCCCTGCCCCCACATCCCTCCCAACTTACTGCTCAGGCTCCATCACCTACTACCTTCTCCCTTTTCACTCTCCTTGTTCCAGCCACACTTGCCTCCTTACTGTTCAACTGCCAGGCATGTCTCCACCTCGGGGCCTTTGCACTTGCTGTCCCCTCTGCACGGAACACTCTCCCCTGAGATCTGTTCTCGTGGTTCATGCTCTGCCTCTCTTCAGATCTTTGCTAAATGCCACTTGTTCATTGAGGCCTTTCCTAACCACCTCATCTAAAAGTGCAACCCTCTCTCCTTCTCTGACTTATTTTTTATTTAGCACTTAGCTCTACTCGAGATACTAGATTTTACTTATTCACTCTATTGCTTTTCTTCCATCAACAGATCATATGGTCCACAAGGGCAGAGGCTTTTGTTCATTTCTCTGTCCCTGTTCCCTACAGGTGCTCTATAAATGTTAAATACATGAACAGGTTTATTCTCTCTGTACCATTATTTCTTCAAGATGAAGAGTTTACCTACTTGTTTTTTTAAAAGATTTTATTTAGAGAGAGAGGAAGGGCGGGAGAAAGAGAGGGAGAGAAACATCAATCGGTTGCCTCTTGCACATCCCCAACCAGGGACCTGGGCCCTGGGCCCCACTACCTAGGAATGTGCCCTGCCCGGGAATTAAACTGGTGACCTTTTGCCTTGTGGGACAATGCCCAACCCACTGAGCCACAATGACCAGGGAACGCTTACCTACTTTGTAGGGCTTTTGTGAAGACAGAGATAATTAGAACATAGAATGTGACTGAAAAGCTAAAAGCTCTACATAACTCCTGACAGCCAATCACCCTATTTGCAGCTCCACTAATGCAATGAATTGAAGTCTACCATCTAAGTGTCAGATGGTTCTGACGGAGAGCTTTCTCAAGCTTAGTGCAGATTTCCCAGAGTCCAGCTGGAAAAATACACCATACACTGGGGACCACACACCAGAGAATGGCAAATGAGTTACCATTTACTGAACATTGCTATGTGCTGAGCACTGGTAAGCACTACATGTGCATCATCTCACTTAATCCTCACAACAAACCTGAATGCAGGTATATCAGTGTACCCATTTTACACATGAGGAACCTTGGGGCTCACAGAAGTTGGGCAATATGTCCAAAGGCTTTCTGTTTAAGCAGCAAAATGAAGCTTTGATCATAGGTCTGTCTGATATACTCTTTCCCACCATAGTAGGAAAAGGAATTTTTGATGACAAAAAACTTGCATAGTTTTACTCTCAATGAAAAATGCGAATTCAAGAGATTTTAAGGTATTGCCATGTGAATAAGAATGATTTAATCTGGTGTCAGAAGGCTTGTGTGTTTGTGGAGAGGGACTATGTACACTTATACATTGACAGCGGGCACAAAATTGGTTTATTCTCTTCAGGAACATAATCTGGCAATAAGAAAAGACGCATAAGTTCCTTATAGGAGAAAACTGGAAAATCCTCAAGACCTAACACACAGTTAAAATTATTTTTATAATAAAAATAAAGCATCATTATTAAAATCCCCAGCGAGCAAAAAGGCACAAAGTATAAAATGAAAACTACCCCTTTACCCCCACAACACCCAGTTCTACTCACTCAAAGGTCACTTACCATGGATAACAGTTTTGTGCATATACTTCCAGTGCCTGCTGATTTTGAGTGTCCAATAATTTGTAATGGGCTAAGCCATCCATGGTAGAGTAGCATAATGACATACTGTTTCCTGGAAGCGAGTATATGAAGCAAGGTTATGTAAAAATTATAAAGCACAAGGATAACACACACTCACTGGAACTACATAAGTCAGCTGCCTGCACAGTGATAAAAATGGAAAGAGATTGGCCTGATGGAGGTAGCTGAATTTAACATGCCCAAGGCTGCCTTAGTTCACAAAAGGAAAAAAAACCACTAAGAAACCAAGTTGGGAGGAAGAAACTCTTAGAACTGAGGCATCTGGTGGGGTAGAGAGAGAACAGCTGGCCGCTGGGGACTGTGTTGGACTGTCCTTCCCCATTTCTAGGCCCTGGTATCCTCATCTGTAAAGTAAAGGGCTTCAGTAGATGATGTCTAAGCACCATTCCAATGCTACAAAGTCTGTGATTATGGGACAGATTAAACATTAGGGCTGAAAAAATATCAAATACTATAGGAAGTTTGGGGAAAAAAGGCATGCTTCTATGGGCTTCAAGGGGTTGACTGTCAAGCTTCATTAAAAGGAATGACGATCTCCGTAGGAAGACACAGTCCCTGATCTCAAGGATCTAGAGTCTGGTGCTCCTCTCCAGCTGACTGAAAGAGTCAACTGGATAGAAGCTTGAAATAAAGGAAGCTAAGGCAGAAGGCAGAGCCTGAAATCATTTTACCATTTCTTCCCGCACTTCCTTCACACATCACCTGGATTGTTAGACAATCCTACTTCCTTCCTTCTGTGGACCTCCATCTTAATTCAGGATCTTTTCCGATCTGGAAGTTTCCTGTGCCCTAGTAGCCAGCCCAAAGGGGTTCAGTTGAATTGAATCTGTTAATTACCTAGAGCATTCAAGTTCCTGTGCTAAGAATCAGGGCTGCATTATGACTTCTGTGGTGGGCCCTGGGTGCTGATAAGATTTCTAACTTTAGAGAGGAAGCTTCTCCAGGGGTATAGACAGGGATCTGATGGATTTGGAAGATCCTAATGCCTGACTCATTCCTTCTCTGACCTTATTTTATATACAACCTATGGCTGCAATGAATTAAGTCTGACTTTAAAAAAACAGCTTTGTGATATCAGCTTCAAATTACTTCCTAGTCACACCTGTAGGTCTCCCTGAGTACAGTGAACAGACCACATGTTCTAATCACTTTCTAATTATTTTCCAATTGACCAAACTTGCCTCCCAAGTAAGGATCTGGAAGGAAGCGAGTGTGTAGGTATGTGTGGTGTGTATGTACACACCCACATCTGAGCATGTGAATATAAAATCCAAAGCCCAATCTCAAGTGATCTTTGCATTAGTCACTCATTCCATTTCAGCTCCACCTTTTCTCTCCTCCACTTGTAGATAATGGGGAGTCGGCTCTAGTTTGAATCCCAATCAAAAACGTTAGAAATGGACTCCAGAAGCAGGGCTGTAACTCCTACTGTTGGGTGCTACCTTTATCTGGAGGCCTTGAACAGAATTCTGCTTGTCTTTCTCTGTGTTCTTTTTTTTAAATATATATATGTAAAACAGACTTGGGAGTATCATGACCGCTGGGTGTACTACGCAAAGTTGATAGAGGTAAGAGACGTGGTTCACAGCTTCCACTACATCTACTCCGTACGCTGGAGCGTCCCAACTGCTCAGATACCGTTGATACCAGAGTCCACCTTTGCCTTCTTCACCATCAAGTTCAACAAAAACAAACCTCCGGTAAGCGCTAACCTTTCTGCCCTGTTTCCTTTGATGAGACTTCAGTGAAAATGGAGACTTCTCTCGTCAAGGCCACTGATGACCCCTTCTTTGTAAAACTTAATAGTCATATTTGTGTCCTCATCCTGCTTGGCCCATCGGCAGCACTTGCCATGGCTGATCATTCCCTCCCTCCTGAAACATTCCACTTGGCTTCTAGACCAACATACTCTCCTGGTTTTCCTCCTGTCTCACTGACCCTTCCTTCTTTGTCTCTACTGGTTTTGCCTCCTCCCACCAACCTCTTCATGTTGCAATGTCCCAAGACTTAGGCTTTGGACCTCTTATCTATACTCATTGCCTTGATGATTATATCCAGCCTCCTGGCTTTAAATGCCACCTCTAGCTTTTGATTCCCAAATGTATATCCCCAGCCCAGACTTCTGCCACTAGGATGTTTAAAAAAAAACATCTCACTTATTGTAACCAGAATTGAACTTCCAATTTTCTCTTCCAAGACTGACCTGCAGTTACCCTCATCTCAGTTGACGGCCGAAATCCTTGGCATCATCGACTCTCTCTCATCCCTCACCCAATCCATTAGAAATCCCTGCTGGCCCTACCTTCAAAAACAGGTCCTGAATCCAACAATTTCTTACCACTCCACTTCTACCACCCTGGTCCAAGACACCGTCATCTCTCACCAAGACGATTTCAATAGCCTTCTAACAGGTCCTTCTGCTTCCACCCTTGCATTCATCATGTCTCTTTTCAATATAGCAGCCAGCCAGAGTGACCCTTATAAAATGAATTTATGTCACTCCTCTGTTTAAACATGTTCCAATGTGTTTCTCCAACTTCAAAGTGCACGCAAATATTTGCGGAACTTGTTAAAAGGAAGATTCTGATTCAGCAGGTCTGAGGTGGGGCTTGAGATTCCACATTACTAAGAAGCCCCCCGGCAAGGCTGATGCTGCAGGTCCACAGCGTATACTTTGAATAGTAAGGGCCTACAAGGCCTTGCGTGATCCACTTCCTTGTTGTTTCTGTTTTCCACTCTTCCTTCTCCCTCACTCCTCTCTCCAGCCACTCTGGCCTTGCTGCTGTTTAATAACATAGTCCCACTTTAGGACCTTTGCACTTGCTGCTCCCTCTGACTGGAACACTCTCCCCTAGATATGCACATGGCCTACTCTCTCACCTCCTGCATTGCACTTTCAACCCCCAACTCCGCCACCTGCCAAAGCTTTTGCTTTTTCTCCATAACACTTTATCACCTTCTGATATTCTATATAATTTATCTTGTTATTGTCTGCTCCTCCTACCAGAATTTAAGTTTCGTGAAGGCAAGGATTTTTGTCTTGCTGTAAAACAAGGCCTAGAAAATATTAAGCACTCAATAAATACTTGAAGGAATGACTGCTCGTAGCCATTAGGTAGAGCATGACTATGATGTATGCTGACAGTTGGTGTGAAAAGAGTCCAAATAATATGAGTCCAGGCATAGGGTTCTCAGAGGAGCAGGGCTGATACTAAGCATAATGCCTGCAACACAGCAGACATAAGACAGTTATATCCCCTCTGCTTTCCATCCTTTCACAAGTTATTTGAAGCTTTGTCTGACTCTAAGGCTTTACATGCGACCACGTAGTGAGCTACTTATGTTCTATATCCATCCTATTCTAGTACAAACATCTATTCAGAGACTTTGGAACCTGAAATAATCTAATTAGGTAAAGTATGTGGAGCTCCTCCTTCTCCTGGTCGTATATCCCACCATCAGCTGTGTTTGTAACTGGCAAGTTTAGAGCTTGGAAAGTAAGGCTGGTGGAGGTAAACAAGGCCATAAGCCAGTGACCACACAGAGAGGGCTTGGGAGAAGGGCTCTTGCTCAGAATTCCAAGTATAATTTTGGAGGACCACTGAGACACTATTACAGCCTATATTTTTGTGCTGCTTTAAAAAGGTTTTAAAACTTGCTCATCTATATTACTTTATTCTTATGCCATTCTTAAGAGGTAAAGCAGGTACTGGCAGTTGAGTAAACTGGAACATGTAAAGGAGGTAAATGACTTACTCAAACTCCTATTAATGAGTGTAAGCCTCTCTTGACTTGTTTCCAATGTTGGGGTGATGCTTAAGGTATCTGTTGCTAAAAAGATCTTTTGGAGAACAGAGGTTTGAAATGACAAAGAATTACCACCTACAGACCCCTAATTCACAAGGAAGATGAATTCTAGAAATTTAAGAGTATATATATATATATATATATATATATATATATATATATATAGACAAGTGTAGAGATGGAAGGAATCATGAGTCGGTATGATTGGCCTAGGCTGACAGCTGTCCTTTTCTTTCTTAGGATGCACCCATTGAAGTCTCTTATAGCTTTGAGGGCCAGTCACTACTTCACAGGTAATGAACATTTGGAGGCTTATTTTAAATGGGTGGTGGATAAAGGTCATCAAACCACAGGAATCCAGAAGGCCCACAGTCACAGATAATTCATGTAATGGTTATCTTTCTCATTTGGAGCACCAACCCCATTAGGATGGACTAAAAGTAGAACACTGCTGTTGTTCTAGAAAATTGTTGTTGTTTTTTTTTTGGCAGGGGTGAGGGATGTGTTTTAGTGTCTCATTTTTCAGTGACTAGAAGCTTGAGGATTAGTTGCTGGAGTAGAGTGGGGGCAAAGTGGGTCATGCCTATTATTTCTATGGGAAAATTCACAATTACATGGAATTAACTCACGTATAATAATCCCTTTTATTTGTATAGCAGCTCTCTTAAAGTATCTTTACATATAAGCTCATTCTTTTATTGACTGGGCCTAAGGAATAGATAGAGACAGTCTTTACCCCTTCACCCCCAAAAGACTCTTTGTTCTCAAGGAATATAACAGAGTAAACAGGGAATCAATCTTTGGCTCAATGTTTTCTTTTATTTAAAAAAACTTTCGGTGTATCTGTTTTTCTTCCTCTGCAGACCAGGAAGGGCTCACTATCCAGAAACATGCATGAAGTACATGATTGAGGCCAAAAATATGTTAATGAAGTCAATTCCCTTCTAACTGAATAGTGTCTGATTCTTACAGAACATTTTAGGATTGCATTTCTATCTGAATGTATTAAAAATACGATACTGCACATCAAACCACAAAATATTTATTGAATAATAAACTTGTGGCACACAATCCAGCTGTATTTTTTTTTGCATTCGTTCATTTTCCATTTGGCAACTTCCATCGTGCTAACAGAGTAACCAGTAAGTTGTTTTCTATTTTCTAAAAGTTTTTCCCCATCACTATCTGCATCACTTAGAGCCTTACAGTTATAGAAGCTGAGTTTAGAGAGTTGCTAAAATTCACCTATCAGACCAACTGAGATCAGTACTTGACTGCCTGTCCCCCGATTTGAGCCTAAGTGTCCAGCCCAGACACACCTCTTTATGGGCACAACTGGGGAACAGAGAAATGGCAACAGTTCTATGGCTCATAATATAACCAGTCAGTTTGAAGGGTTCCTCTACTCACAGACCCCTTCATTTACTGTGAGATAAGCCTCATTGTTAAACACAGTCTGAAACTCAAACTGTGCAGCAGGGCATGTTGCCTGCTACAACACAGCATCACAATCATGATGGCAGCAACATGGCTTCAGGACTGGGGGCAATAAAACATGGAGGGCTCAGTCTCCACCCTTACTTATTTCTTGTTTTCTTCCCATCCTCACACCAGGTTATCATTTGTTCCTACCATCCCTGTAAGGCTGTCTTGCCTGGCTGCAAAATTTTAAAATGCCAAAGACAAATTACGTTTGGAGCGATTACTTATAGGTACATCAGAATACGCATTTACATAGACAAGCACTGAAACTGAACAAAGAACCCTAAAGACAGTTGATGTGGTAAGACTGTGGGTCATTTTTCTTTCTTCTTTTAAAAAACTGTTACATTTACACAACAAATAAAAAAGGAAGGAAAATTTTAGAGCAACAGATGAAGAGATGGGAAACCAGGTAAGTCTCCTTGGAGAAGAAAAAATACAGTATTTCAAATACAACAGCTCTCCGATTGGACTTATGGCTCAGGTGACTAAACACACAGTTTGAAGCAGTAACTCTCATGAGCTGAAAATAAACTACGTTCAGCCCTTTTATCCTTCCCTCCCCTGTCCCAAAAAATAAGCCACCAAAGCTGTTCTTGGCACGTCTTTCCTGAATAATCACTGATGAAAGAAATGGTAAAGGTCTGAAGTAAATTAATATATTTTCTTCCATTTACTCAACAAGCATTTTTTGAGTATCTGCTCTGTGGAGAAGGGAGAATCTGATAAAAATCCATAGTGTTCATATATCACAAAATTGTTGCACTTGAACTATCTTGCCAACTAAAAATAAGAGAATAGGCTCACTCAGGCTCTAGAAGCCTACGTTTTGAAATCTGACTGCCTTATTTTAAAACTTTGAAAAAACTACTTTAAATTATTCTAAGGAGAGAGAAGAGGACATTTTATTACAGCAGAGTCAGAATTTCCTTATCACCCAGGTAATTTAAATTTATCCTAGGCACATAATAGTAACGCAGCTCAAAAGAATCTTAAGAAAAACAACCCGAATTTCTACTGTCCCTTACCCCTTCACTCTTGTGACCTAATGACTAAAACTGAACGAAAAAGATTGTAATCTCACAGTCCCAGAATTTTCCATTTCTCCCAAACTTGAAAGTCGATAGTAGACATAAAAAAGTTAAGTCAGGGGGGTTCTGTACAAAGTTAAAGATTAAACTAAATCATAGATGTAAAAACTAATCTTAAAGGCTTAACATTTAAAATTAAATCTGCCTATTACATAAAGGACAGGCAAAATGTTTAATATCATTTTAGCTTCATCCTTATAAACTGAGTTAAAATAATGATTCATTATATTTTTCTCTATTAAACTCCTGACCACAACTGACTCCCATTCATTTCTAGTATTCAAATTATGATCTAAATACAGCTTAGATGGAAATACTGTACTTACACCAGCACAACAGTAGACTTTCCAATATTTTATATTTGGGAAAAAAACACTTTTAAGTAACCTACTAAGAATTTTTAAAACTAACGTTCACATTTTCAATTCAACAAGTCTGTGGGTTAGTTTGCTTTTTGGTTTGTTTGTTGGTTTGTGGGTTCATCAGGGACTAAAACCAAAATACATTATTTGCAGGGCAGACTATATATTGTATAAGAAAAGTCAACCTTCAAAGTCCAGATTTGCTTTTATCAGCAATGCCTTCATTGTGTTAACAAAGCTGGCCTCCTGTATTTTTCTATCAAGTCCATTTATAACACATTCAACATAGAGGAGTGATAATTTCCACCAGTTCGGCTGGGGTGGGGGCGGGTGTTGTGTGGAGTTACGAGTAGCACTGTCCCATGGTGTGAGAGTTAAGTTTCTCATCTCACTGACCTTTTCTCTCAATGTCACCTCCCCCAAAACAGTTGGATTTCGTTCATAATTTGGATTTTTAAACCGTAAAGTTTTATGGTCAATCCAAAATAACCCAAAGAACTTGCTAATGTTGTATCAATAAGCAGCTTTTTATTGAAAGATCGAAAGAATTAAATAGAAGGCACAGTAGCACTGTAAAGCTTTTCAGATCATAACAATCTTTTTGTATGTATATATAAAACCCAGACTTTCTGTTAAAAATGTCTGCTGAACAAGCCAAAAATCCTTATTTGTCATCTTTCCCTTTAGTTTTTCTGTATACCATCTCTCGAAAACTGGCCAGAATCTTGTTTTCTCTCTTTCGTCTCTCTTCTTGGTTAAAGGATGCAAGAGCTCTCTTCTCATCAGCACTATAGATCTGGTTCTCTTTTCGTAGTCGCACAGCCTCCATTCGGCGATGCCTGGAGATAATTTTATTTTTCGCTTAATTTCTCAGTAATTATTCTCATAGTACTTCCTCGCTAATGCTTTCTTAAAACAGAGTGGTTCATTTCAAAGTCTGACAAATAGAAACTTTTTGTAATGGGTTATATTTTCTAAAGGTCATTCATTTTATCCGCCAACGTGTCTTTTGATTCATTTCTAGTATTCAAATAATAATAATAATCTCTTGATATTCTATTCTGTCAACATTGTGAAAGTTATGAATATTAAATACTAAGGGTTTAAGTCTAGTTCTACCGTTTCCAATAAAACAACCGGAAGCAAGCAAATTATTAAACCTCCTAGGCGATATGTGGAATTTGCCTTGGTGAAATTGATAATATGATAGATGAAAGACTTAAGCTGTCGTCAATGACGTGGAACTTAACTTTAAGGTTCAATTTATCATAAAACCAAAAGAACCAAGTCTACATCTACAATTGAATTTAACTCCTTAGACTCTAGTAGCAGCTCAAAGAAAATAAAGAAGGGATTTAGCACAAGATCCAAATCAGGAAAGTATAGGGGCAGGGACAGACGGAAACTATTATATCTTCAAAAGGTTGCTTATTTAGAAGGAAATCTTCATGAAAACCTGCCTCTTTTATGTATATGTACCCAATCCTATACAATCAGTTCAAGATGAAGTTTGAGTTGCCTATAAAAAGAGAGAAAACTGAGTGAGGAGAGGGGAGAACCGTATCAGGTTACTGTGAATGTAGGGGAGTGGCAGGATGGAGAGTCGAGGACATGACAATGTATTTAGGTTGCTCAGGGTACAGTGAGTAGTTTATCTGGAACAGGAAGTATTATGTGAATGATGCTGTAACAAACCTCTATATAAATGTCTCCTAGTACATGGGAAAGATTTTCTCTTGGGTATCTAGGTACGGAGTTACTGGGTCATAAAAGTATATGAATACTCAACTTTCCAAGATAATGTCACACTGTTTTCCAAAGTGGTTGTATCAATTTACACCACGACTAGTAATACCTCAGAGATCCTGCAGATCCACATCCTCTCAAATGCTTGGTGTGGTTAGAACTATGAACTTTTGTCTATCAAATGCATGTAAAATAGTATTTCAGTATGTTCTTAATATCCATTTCCAAAGATAATGAACATCTTTTTATGTATGTATAAGCCATACATATTTCTTCTTCTCACCAATGCCTGTTTGTGTCATTTTCCCACTTTTCTTTTGGGTTGTTTATAGGTGTTCTTTAAATATTCTCAATGCTAACTCTATAATGATGGTGTGTATTGCAAAATCTTATCCCAGCTTGGAACTTGTCTTTTTACTTATTTTAAGATGTCTTTTGATGAACAAAAGTTCTTACTTTTAACCTAGGCAAATTTATCAATATTTTATTTTATGGCTATTGCATTTTTTGTCTTTTTTTAAAAAACACTTCTTCCACCCCAAGATCTAACAAATAGGTATCAGTTCATATTTTATACTGAGAGTGTTATAGTGATTTATGACATTTAAGTCCTTAATCTAGCTGTAATGATTTTTTTAAAAGTATATTTTATTGATTACGCTATTATAGTTGTCCCATTTTTCTTCTCCACTTTATCCCCCTCCACCCCGCACCCCGCTCCCACCAGCATTTTGAAGGCTTTGATTGAATTAATGACTGTGAAAGCCTACTGACCAGGTGACTTGTCCCTCTTTTGTTTTCTCATTATGCCTATACTTAGTATTTATCTTTTTAAAATTAATTAATTTATATGGTAATGTAGGGTTCTACTTTCATCTTTTTTTCATATTGATAATGACTTTTTTTCCTGAAGCATTTATGGAATAGTTTCTTCTTTCCCCAGTGATTTGACAGGCCATCTCTTTCATTTACCTAGGTTCCATGCATGTATGGCTCTGTCCCTGGGCTCTGTATTTTATTCCACTGAATAACTAATTTGTTTTCCAACCCTTTCTAATGTACTGTAAGCTTCATTATAAGTCCTCATACCCGGTAGGGCAAATCTCATCTTCCCCCTCTTCTTCCTCAGAAGTGACCTGGCTAGTCTTGGCCCTCTAGTCTAATATATAAATTTAAAAACTAACTTACTAAGTTTCATGAAAAAATCTAATGTGATTTTGACTACAACTGCACTGAATATACAGATCAATTTGGGAAAAACTGACAATACTGCCTTTCGTCCATGAACATGGTATCTCTCCATTTACTTCCATCTTTTTAAATGTCTCAACAATTTTATAGTTTTCCCTGTAGAGCTCCTGGACATCTTTTAGTAAGATTTATTTCTAAGCCCTTCATATTCTCTGATACTGTTATAAATGTCATTTTCTTTTTATTTAGTTATATTTTCTAGCTGTTCGTTGCTGGTACACAGAAATACAATTGATTTTTGTGTCTTAACCATATATCCAGCCATTTGTTAAACCCTCTTCTTATTTATAATTTATCTCTAGATTCTTTAGGACTTTCCATATAAACAATCCATATCATTCACAAAAATGACAGTGTAATAGCCTCCTTTCCAGTCCTTATGTCTCGAATTTCTTTTTCTTATCTTACTGTGCTGATCCTCAGATATAATATTTTCAAATGTTGGTCCTCAGAATTCTAAGATTTTGGAAGTGCCTCAGAGGTACTGCAAATATTTGCTTCCAACTTTATTTTAAAATATATATCTACTTTTAAAACTTTATATAAAGTTTTTAAAAATCCAAACTTCAGTTTGATCTTGGTAAAGATACCCTATTCACTCTCCTTGATCTCCATTGCTTTCTCTTCCCTAATTTTATATTCATTTTCCCATGCTGAACCTGATGTCTGTTCTAATTCTTTTCTGTTCTTCATCCTCGAGTCCACAAAGAACTAGAGGCAAACTTAGAAACCAGGCAACACTGTCTTATGAAAATGCTCTCCTCACTACCAGAATGCTACATTCCTCATTGGGCAGTGATAAATAGCTGAATTTAACTATATCCTCCAGAGGATAAACTATCTGTACCAAAATAAGAAATGAGAAAAAGACAGTGGAAAGACTGATTCTTTGACACAGCCGAGTTTGAGGCTGAATTGCATACATACTTAAAATTTTAGATAACCACATTTATACCAATAAAACCCATATTAAAACAATACTTTTACTTTTCATTACGAGTGGTCACTTAATGAAAATCAATCACAAAATATATATAATTCTGGTAGTGAGAAAGAAGGAAATGATCTAATCACAGAAACTGACTTCAATGCCAAGAACATACCTGCTACCACTCATTACGTAACCCGAGCACTCAAATGATGCAATTTCTTCACTTGTCAAACCAATTTCACCTCTTCGTGGGATACGTTTTCCAGCTTTTACATATTCAGCCATAGCTGCACCTTCACCAGGTAACAGAGCATGGCCATAGCTAAAAGTAATTCAGAATTCAGAAAAGGTCCATTATAAAAACCTCATCATCTAAAGAGAGCACAAAAATTCATTTACTCTCAGCAAATAGTAGGAGTAAAAGTTGCTGAGTGGCAGCATGTTGGGAAGCCCAATATGAATTGCTTTAATTTAATTAGTAAACAATGCACTGTGACCTATGTAACCAACTCAGAAGTGCAGAGATACTTTGGAAGAACAAAAAGAACTGATGTTAGTATGTATAGATTCATTTTTTACAATTATGGATCAGTTTATCCCTACAGGCACTGCCTTTACTGTTTCTTTCAGTGAATTCTTCTTCCCTTTTTCCATGGAAAAAAAGTAGAGGAATAATATATCTCAAATTTAACATACTGTTTAGCCTGATAATCAATAATAACACATGCAGTAACAATTATCTATTACCTTTCATTCAAGGGGACTTTAAAAACTATCATCCCTTCATTCAGTTCATTGAATGCTTTTTAAATACCTATTAAACAAAAATAACCTCTGTTCTTGTGGAATTTACATATTAATAAGGATAACCACAATACAATGTAGAATATATAATACATTTCACAAAAGAAATAGAAAATGCTATGAGGACTGAAGGATGAGAGAGGGTAGGAATCACACCTACTTTGGAGGGAAGGTATTGGGAATCAGCACATGACCCCCCTTTTGAAAAGGGCTTTGAAGGATGATGAGGATTAACAGGAAGAAATTGGAGGTAGTGAAGAAAACAGGGCTGGGAAAAGAAGGGAAAGCATGTTGGGGGAAGAAATAAAGAAAACAAGGCACAATGTGGGAAAGTGCACAGTAAATACAGGGAAATTTAGTTCAGCTCAGTTGGAACCTGAGGAACAAATAAGGGAGCAGAGGGAGATAACTTGGAAAGGTAAGTTTAGGGCCATACTTTTGGGGAGGTACTTTAGATATTGTAAATACACTGTTACTTACTTCAGAGGTTTATCATCTTGAGAGGCAAGTGTCTTTGGAGCCTCTGGGCCAATTAAATCTGAGGGTTCTTCAGGCTCTGCATGAAAGATGTTCAGAAACATATTCACGTTTTGACTAACTGGTTAATTTAATGTTTTATCTCTTCTGAGTCAAAGTCTATCAGGGACATTTGTAATAGTGTCAATAAAAAAGAAAAAAAGCACAAGGAAGAGAAAATATATTTACAGTATTTTTGGAAAAAATCCATATATAAGTGGACCCACATAATTCAAACCCATGTTGTTCAATGGTGAACTGTAGTAATAAATATGCAAATAATGAAAAAAGTCTATCATCAGAACCTACTTGATCGATCCTTCCAGGGATTTTCCAGAAACTCTTCTTGGGAATCTTTAGAGCTTGAATCACTGGAATCTTTTCTGTTTTTCTTAGACTTCTTTTTCTTGTGTTTCTTCCTATAATTATTATAATTTGACACAATGTGACTTAATTTTCCCATGTTAAAGGACATATTATTTTTCAAGGCAATGAAAAGACTGATTAATTTGAATTCTCAGCTTATTCAAACTTTTTAGAGAATAATTTTAATTTGAAAATCTAACTTACTCAACCAAATGATGTTTCACCACAAAAAGACCCCTAAAAGGAACAATGAAATACAGTTCTCATGTTGTAAAAAGAGAAATAAAGCAGCTTAAAAAATAGCTCTCAATTTGAGCATCAATAATTTTAAGAGTAATAGATGAAAAAAACATCAAACATGTATGAATATTTGGGTTCATAATAATACTAAAATAACCCAGTTCATTATTCTGAAAACTCATAAAACAAAAGAAGTAATTATCCTGCCTTTCCTGTACAAACTACTTCAGAGTAATCCAATATTTGATGGGGGTAGGTTTCTCTTATAAATACAGAGGACAGAACATGTTAAAAGGACACCATAAGAATACAATCAGCAAAATCCATACTGCAGGAAACTCTACAGGACAAATAATTTGGTTTCCTCAACAAAATGCAAGAACAAAAAGAGAAGATATAGAGACTTGAGTGACATGTCAACCAATGACAATTTATGGCATTACTTGGATCCTGATTTGAATAGACACTAAAAAAACTGCCAAGAATTGAGAAATTATTGTTAAATATTTTAGATGTGATAAAAGTACTGTAGTTATGATTTTTTAAAAAAGAATGTTTATCTCATAGAGAAACATGCTGGTTTATGGATGAAATGATATCTGGGATTGGTTTCCAAATAATACGGGGTGGGGCAGTGGAGACTGCCCATGAGCTGGTAATTGTGCAAGCTGGGTGGTTACATGGGAGATCATTTTATTATTTTGTATAATTTTATATGTATTTGAAATTTTCCATAATAAAAATTGAAAACAGAAACCAACGATCTGCGTTTCTTCTTCTTTTCCTTTTTCTTGGTTTTCTTTGATCGCTTTTTTGTATCTTCATCTGCAAATTAAAGCAATTAGAAATTTTAAAAAATTTCAACTCTAACCCCCCCAATACTTTTAAGTAGATAAATATCACATTGCTGTTCTATTTGTTGTGACCCAGAAATTCATTCATTTATTGCAACCTGTCAGGAGTGTGCTAGGCACACAGAAATTAAAGTCACACTAAGTATTTGGTGATATAGGGCATAATTATTAATTTTATTACATGAAATAATAGTATTGTGATTAAGTAGGAAAATGTCATAAAGCAGATGTATACAGAAATCCTTAGGGTGGCAGTGTGATATTTGTAATTTACATCGACTATCTCAACAACAACAAAAATACCGTATTTTGCCGTATATAATATGCACCCATGATTTTGTGCACATTATACACGGGATTATTATACCCACGGTATGTAATTATTATATCCATGTATAATGTGCATCCTTATTTTTCCCTCAAAAATTTGGGCAAAACAGTGCATATTATACACAGCAAAACATGGTATTTGAAGCAAATATGTCAAACTACTAACAACTGTTAAAATCGAGGTGATATATAAATGGTAGTATACTATTCTCCTTACTTTTCTGAATGTTAGGGTATTTTCAAGATGGAAAGAGAAAAACTTTTGTGTGCGTTTTGGAGGAATGCTTTCCCGGTGCGCAGTCTAATGCAGGAGACAGAGGTAAAGAGATAAACAGAATCCCGAGTGATAGAGGAAGCCGGGGGTGCTCTAGGCCCACAGAGGAGTCTCACAATCAGGCTGATTTGGGGAGGGTGGCTGAGGAACGGTTGGCCAGGCAAAGGTGACTCTTAAGCTAGTTCTTTTTAAAGTCAGTTTTATTACAAAAGTAATGCGTGCCCATTGTTGAAATGAGTAAGCCAAGCCGCATGCAGGGGGAGACTGGCATTGCAGGCAGACAAGACTCTCTGTATCACGTTACAAAATCAAGAGAAAGAACACGAACAACAGTGTGGTGACTGCTTGGGTGAAGAGGGGTGGAGAGAGGGAGAAGAGGGTATGGGGGGATAAACGGTGATGGACAGAGACTTGACTTGGGGTGATGAACACACAGTAGAGTATACAGATGATGTGGTATAGAATTGTGCACCTGAAACCTGTATAATTTTGTTAACCTGTGTCACCTCAATAAATTCAGAGAGAGAGAGAGAGAGAGAGAGAGAGAGAGAGAGAGAGAGAACACGGAACACCAAGGAGACAGAAAGTAGTTCACAGGCTACAGAGCACGCCATGAGAGAAGGTGACAACGTGTATGTGATTAGAGTGGATCAGGCAGGGTCTGAGCCTTACTTTGAAGGTTCTGAAGAGCCACTGAAGGATTTTAAATAGGGGACTGACACGCTCAGATTTGTGCTTTAAGAGTTGAGTCTTCCAGCCATGAGGAAGAAAAGTGGCAACGGGGGCAGGAAACCCAGGTGACATCAGAGGAAGGGGCACCTTTGCCAATCATCAGCCAGGACTGAGCAAAGGAAAAAGGCTGTTGTGGTGTGCCACCCTACAGGGGTGTCTTCCTTAAATCAGCTGCCAGCCTGAAGGGGTCCTTTGTGGTGTGCCTTTTTGAAAATTGCACGAAGGTGCCCACTGAGTGTGAGAATTACACAAAAGAGCTGCTCGTAGATGGCTTGGTTTGGTACCACATGTCTTGCAGCCTAACCCCAACTTGGTTCAGTGCCACGTGCCTTGTGCACCTACACACAACCGATGTAGAGTCACACCGCTTAGGTCTGAATCCCAAATGTGTGACCGAGAGGGTGGTGCTTTACGCTGCTCTGTGCCTCCTTTTCCCCTTCTCTAAGAACTATCCTATGGTTACTGTGTAGATTAAAGAGCAAGCACTTAGCAGGGTGCCCGTCACGACGTTGGTAAGTGTCCAAAAAACTTTTGACTGTTACTATTGTTTTTAAGAACCTACTTCTGAAATAAGCTTTAAAACATAAAAGTGGTGTTGGAGCGAGGCTTGCAGAATGAGGTCGACCATCTTACCACTGGAGTCTGTTTCAGAATCAGAGTCACTGTCACTATCGTCAGAATACTTCTTGTGTTTTCTTTTAGATGATTTTTTCTTTCTTCTTTTCCTGGACCTTTCTTTTGAATGACTGGACTTCTTCTTCTTCTTCTGTTCTTCTACATAAAATACAAATAAAAACTCACTTCTAAAGAAGTATTTCTGAGTATCAACTTATTGTATTTGAAATACTGAAAAAGAATATGTGATAGACACTTTGAACAAAAGCAAAGTCTAATATTCAAGTACTTAGAAACTTATTTTTTAATTTATAAGTAAAAAAGCTTTGCATTTAAAACATACCTTCTGAAGTAGAAGCTGAAGTGGTGCTTTTCTTTGGTTCCTCATCCTCTACCGGTGTATGTTCATCAGAGCTGAATTTAAAGAACATGGTTATTGCAGTGATCATATACTGCTAGTTCGAGAATATGTGGATTATACCTGGATTGGATGATTTTGCTCATCAGCAAGTGTTATTTAAATAAAATAGGAGGTGCTTAAAATAAGAAATGCTCTAAAAGAGTTTGCTTTTGAAGGATCGAATAGTAACTGTTTTTTCCACAGCTTTCTTTTGAAAGAAGAAAGTATGTTAACTCATCATCTTGAAAGTACATTTCTGATTGCACATTGACTGGAGTTTTGTCTTTGAGCAGATAGACTGATGGTCTGATTTGTAAAATGATGATTTAGGATTGGCTGATACATAGCCTTAGGTCCTAAAACAATTCTGCCACTTGATAAAAATTCTCAAGGGCTTTGATAATCTCCTTTAGAAGAACCAAGAACTTACCTAGAATTCATTCTTCACTGGAAAAATAAATTACAAAAGCATTTCCTTCCCAACCTCACTCACAAATCTGCAGAATTATTTTTAGTTAAGTAGTACAAGGATGACCAAAAGACGACTTGTAAACAGCATACAGTGATGTCTTAATAACTAAACAATGGAACGTACACGTAGAGAAGCTCTTTGAAGTCATCAGATCAGCTTCACTCACAGGCCCGAGTTTAAAAAGACATCAGTCTCCCCCCATGCTTTAATACTGTGCAGTCCAAACTAGGACTCATGAACATCCAAGCAGTTTTGTGCTTTGAGCCACTTTTGGACAAAAATGGCTCCATTTTCCCACTCTGTGGGTTTCTAAAATTAGTTCAGTGTTTTATAATCTCCTAGTAATAAAGCAATGTTGTTTTCTGAGCTGTAACAGTTGGCTTTATTCTTCTACTCTGAAAAATTTTGACTTGTTTGAGTGTATATAATATGAATAAAGGGAGCCTTAACAGATTTGTTTTCATAATTTAATATTTTTTGTTTTTGTGCTTATATAATTGGTTTTATTTCTTTATTTTTAAAAATATTTTATTTATTTATTTTTAGAGAGAGGGGAAGGGAGGGAGAAAGAGAGGGAGAGAAACATTGACGTGTGGTTGCCTCTTGCATGTGCCCAACTGGGGACCTGGCCCATAACCCAGGCATGTGCCCTGACTGGGAATCAAACCAGTGACCCTTTGGTTCTCAGGGCAGCACTCAATCCACCGATCCACACCAGCCAGGGCTTGTAATTGTTTTTCATGTAAAGTATTACAGAATTGAGGGTAGAATTCTTAGAACCAAAGTCATCCTTTTTTATTTTAATCTTCATCTAAGGGTATGCTAATTGATTTGAGAGAGAGAGATACTGATATGGGAGAGAAACCTTAATCGGTTGTGCCCTGACCGGGAATCAAACCCACAACCTTTTGGTGTATAGGATGATACTCCAACCAACTGAGCTACCTGGCCAGGGCAAACCAAAGTTATTCTTTAAACAAATTTTTTTAAATTTTTATTTATTGATTTCAGAGAGATAGAAAGGGGAGGGGGAGAGAGAGAGAGAGAGAGAGAGAGAGAGAGACAGAGAGAGAGACAGAGAGAGAGAGAGCTAGATCAGTTTGTTGTTCAACTTATTATATGTGTTCTTTGGTTGATTCTTGTACGTGTCCTAACTGGGATTGAACCCACAGCCCAGGCGTATCAGGACCATGCTCTAACCAACCGAGCTACCAGGTTGGGGCCCAAAGTTATTCTTAACAAAAATCACCACATGCTTGGACCATGAAAGAAAAAAATGAAGAAAGAACATGATTATAAGAATCAGAAATGTGGGGGGGCTCTTCAAGATGGTGGGAGTATCTAAAGGCAGCCCACTCAGAACCTCATACAATCACATCACAATTACAACTAAACTACAGAACAACCATCATTCAAAACCACCTGAAATCTAGCTGAACAGAAGCCCTATAACTAAACATATACTGAAGAAGCCACATGGAGACAGGTAGGAGGAATAGAGACATTGAATAGGCTGGTCCCACACCCACATGTGGTGGTTAAAAATAGTGAGGGATATCTTGGCTGCAGAGGTCCATCTCTGAGGAGCAAGTGGTCCCAGCCCCACACAGGCACCCCAGCCCAGAATTCTAGTGCCAGGAAGAGAAGTCCCATAACTTCTGGGTGTAAAAATCAGTGGGGAACGAGGCTGAGTGAGAAGGAGGGCTTCTGGACACCCAGACGTTCCTCTTAAATGGCCTGTGCATGGATTTACTGAGACTCACTCCCTCTAAGCTCCAGTGCTGAAGTAGTAGGTCGAAAGGCGCCAGTGACATACAAGGAGGAACTGAATTGACTGGCATCAGGGAGAGGGCTGGAGGGGCAGCTTTCTTGCAGACAGAAGTGCTGGCAGAGGCCATTGTTTCTTTGCTGAGCCCTCTCCACACAGAGCCAGCAGGTGGGTGCCATATCTGAGACTCCAGCAACCTGGCTCACACTGTTCACCCCACCCTGGTGATTCCCTGAAGCCCTGCCCCACCCCACTTGAGGGTCCAGCAAAGCCCTTTCCAGTGTCTCTTCCATACAAAGGGACTCTCTTGCCTCACGCTATGGACTTTTGGAAAATGTCTCAAACAAGCAGCATCTGGCCTCAGCATGCCCTGTAGCGCTTCCTAAGTGGCCCTAGGTCTTACACTAGCAGCAGCTGGCCTTGGTTTGCGGTTTGGCCTCTCCCAGACAACTTCGAGCCCAGCACAAGTGGCAGCCATCCACAGTAGCTCATGCTGGGCAGACCCAGGCAGGGCACAGGCAGTGTCTGACTTTGTATCTCCTGGGAGGCCCCAGAGCCAGTGCACCCAGTGGACTGCGTTAGACCATGCCGGATTCCAACTCAACCCCATGAGTGACATATTTAAGAGGCGGACTCAACAGGCACTAAAACCGTAATGAAGTGAGTGCTGCTCTGTGGGGCTGGCCCCTACACAGCAGCTCCTCCACTGTACTCGCAGCTGGTCCTTGAAGCTCATTGGCACGGTGGCCAATCCCTCCCAGTGCTGTGCCAGCAGCAATCTGTTGTAGTGGCAGGCTCAGCTGCAACAGGACAGTGCACACACCTTACACAGGGGGTACACTTGGAGTGCCTATCTCAGGTGACCAGAGACACTGTGCCACTGGGTCCTACAGGACACCTACTATGTAAGACCATGCTACCAAGTCCAGGAGACATAGAGGCTCTACCTATTACATAGAACAAAGGGAAGCAGGCAAAATAAGGAGAAAAACAGGTCCCAAATGAAAGAATATGAGAAGTCTTCAGAAAAAGAACTAAATGAAATGGAGGCAAGCAAACTACCAGATACAGAGTTCAAAACAATGGTTATGAGGATGATCAAGGAACATATAAAAGGGCATAAAAAACCTGGTCACAAATGAAGGATATACTAACTGAAATGAAGAATAGTTTACAGCGAATCAACAGTAGAGTGATTTGGAATATGAAGAAGCAGAGAACAATCAGAACAGCAAAAAAACAAAACAAAACAAAAAACCCCACAAAATAAGGATATTGTAAGAAGCATCTGGGACAACTCCAAGCATACCAACATTTGCACCATGAGGGTGCTGAAAGGAGAAAAGAGAGAGCAAGGAATTGAAAACCTATTTGAAAAAATGATGGAAAACTTCCTTAAGCTGGTGAAGGAAACAGACATACAAGTCCAGGAAGCACAGAGTCCCAAACAAGATAAACCCAAAGAGGCTCAGGCCAAGACATATTATAATAAAAATGCTGAAGGTTAAAAACAAAGAGAGAATCTTTTTTTAAAAAATTTTTCAAATTTTATTTTAATTTATTTTTTCAAATACATTTGTCTCTGCTTACCCCCCCCCACTTTCCCTTGCCCCCTCCCTCCTTCCCTCCTTCAGCTCTTCCCCTTTGGTTTTGTCCATGAGTCCTTGCTATATGTTCCTTGACTTTCTGCTTCCCTTCCTTTTCCCCGCCCCGCCTCCCTCCTTCCCTCTTGTCTCAAAGAGAGAATCTTAAAAGCAGCAAGGGAAAAGCAGTTAATAGCCTACAAGGGAGTTCCCATAGACTGTCAACTGATTTCTCAACAGAAACTCTGCAGGCCAGAAGGGACTGGCACAAAATACAAGTGATGAAAAACAGGGAACTACAACCAAGATTACTCTACACAAGCAGGAGAAGAAGGAGAAGAGGAGGAGGAATTAACAATATGAATAATAAAATGGCAATAAATACATATTTATCAATGATTAATTTAAATGCAAATGGATTAAATGTGCCCATTAAAAGATATATGGTAATTGAATGGATAACAAAATAAGACCCTTACCCATGCTATCTACGAGAGACTCACTTCAGGTCGAAAGATACACACAGACTAAAAGTAAAGGGATGGAAAAGATATTTTATGAAAATGGAAACAAACAAACAAGCTGGGGTAGCAATATTTGTACTAGAAAAAACATACTTTAAAACAAAAGCCATTAACAAGAGACAAAGAAGGATCCAGCAACTCCACTTCTGGGTATTTATCCAAAGAAACCCAAAACACTAAATTGAAAAAACATATACATCCAAATGTTTACTGCAGCATTATTTACAATAGCCAAGATACGGGAGCAACCTAATGTCCATTGATAGATGAATGGATAAGGAAGTGGTGCATACATACAATGAAACATGATTCAGCCATAAAAAAAGAATGAAATCTTGCCATCTGAAACAATGTGGATGGACCTAGAGGGTACTATGCTAACTGAAATAAGTCAGACAGAGAAAAACAAATGCCAGATAATTCACTTATATGTGAGATTTAAAAAACAATTAAGCATAACAGAAACAGACTCATAGGTACAGAAAACATTTTGACAGCTGCCAGACAGGAGGGGGTTGGGGGGATGGGTGAAAAAGGTAAAGGGATTTAGAAGTACAAATCAGCAGTTACAGAATAATAACAGGGATGTAATGTACAGCATAGGGAATATAGTCAATAATACTGTAATAACTATATATAGTGCCAGATGGGTACTAGTTATATTGGGGTGATCACTATGTAAGTTATGGAAATGTTTAATCACAGGATTGTACACCTGAAACTAATATAATATTGTCTGTCAACTGCATGTAAAAAAAAGAACCAGAAAAGTGATAAAATATGGACCACAGAGTATTAAAATACAGAGCTAAAAATTTTCAGTAACAAATAATTTTCATAAACCATTAAAAGCAAGCACTGGACTGCTTTTCTAAGAATACTGTTTAAGGATTTACCACCTTCATCATAATATAATAATCATTTACACATGCATAATTCTTTAGAGTTTACAAAGTGCTATTCAAACTGAAATAACCATATAAGATTTACATTTTCAGAAGAAACCACAGGGAAAAAGTAAGGAAATGGGAGCCATAAGGAAAGATGAAAGAAAGTGGAGATAAGAAAGCTGAGGATAAAAAAAAAAATATTCTTATTCATATGTAAAGGACATATGGCAGAGCAGCAACTGTTCTGTCTCCCCAGAGCAAGAAGGCCCTCATACACTACAGTATAAACACATTTCACTCTGTTGTAGAGAATTCTGAACATGAGCATTATAAAAAATTCTGTAGTAGTTTAGAGAAGGAATTATATCAATCTTTTCTCTGAAAATCACATCTGGAATAATTTAGGTATTGCCTAGAAAATTAATTTTAGGGTTCTTTCCAACTCTAATTCTTCAAGGTCAGACTCTTCAAGCATTTTCCAGAGGTATTTATAAGAACAAGTTTCAGATAATAATGCTTTACCACTCTGTCACAAATTACAAGTTTACTAGTCAAGCCCACTGTTTCAATTCAACCTAAAGTAGACAGAGAAATAGAGGAGAAGGAAGAAGCAGCTTATGAATAGGACCAAAGGAAAAAAAATAAGAAAAAGGAAAAAGGATTAAGCCTTCAGATACTACTTGATATAGGAGAACTAAACAAAACCATATTAGTGTAATAACTGAAAAAAAATTCCTTGGGGGATAGAATGGAAAGCCCAGAAATAAACCTACACATATGAGAGGGGACCCAAAAAAATCCTGGAATCTATTTATAAAAAATTGTGTATTTATTCTTACATGTTTAAACGTTAGTTACCTTCAAAGTACTCTCTATATAATGCAATACACCTATTGAGATGTTTTTTTCCAATGCTAAAAACAGTTTTTGAACTTATTGATTTTGATGCCTTTAGTGCTTCTGTGTTTTTTGTTTGTTTGTTTGTTTGTTTGTTTGTTTTTTTGTTTCACCACTTCCACATCCACAAAATGTTTCCTGTTGAGGACTTTTTCCATCAGGGGAAACAAACAAACAAAAAGTTGCTCGGGGCAAGATCAGTGAACAGGGAGTGTAAGGCATGGGAGTCACGTCTTTTTTGGTCAAAAACTGCTAAGCAGCACAGCGGGTGCAGGTGCACTCATAAATCACCCATCATAAAATGTGCAAATACCTTGAAAGAGTCTTCAACAAAAATATTCACTGAAGCCCAACATGGCCTCTCACAGCAACACCAGCTGGTACACTAATAGAGATAGGTTCCGAGAACACTCACCTAGCAAGGGAAGCCTATACTACACGGGGCCCACCATCCAGAAGACAATTCTGGTTTTTTGGGGGGACCCTCTTCACGTATGGTCAATTAATTTACAACAGAGGAGTGAAGAATATACAGGTGAGGCAAAAGTAGGTTTACATTTGTGAGTACACGAAACAGTTCATTCTTTTATTATTATTTATTATTTTCCATACGAATACCAATAAACCTTTTTTTGCCCACCCCTGTATAAAAATATCAAATCATTATGTTGTACACCTGAAACCAACATAATGTTGTATGTCAATTATACCTCAAAAAATCTCTTTGTGATGTTAACATCTGACATGCAATTGGCTACTGGATTGAGAAAAAATTATTAGAAATAGTATAAAAGTATTTTTTTTAACACAGAATCCTCCTATGAACAGGAAATTAGCATCCTGTGAATAACAACTTAAGAAAACTATTAGCATGCTAAAATCTGCTGGCAACAGGTAGCTCAATGTCTTTAAAACTTAAGGGATAGCCCTGGCTGGTGTGGCTCAGTGGATTGAGTGTTCGCATTGGAACTGAAAGGTCACTGGTTCAATTTCCAGTCAGGGCACATGCCTGGGTTGTGGGCTGGGCCCCCAATTGCGGGCATGTGAGAGGCAACTGACCAATGGTTCTCTTCTTCCCTTCCCCTCTCTCTAAAAGTAAATAAAAAAATAAAATAAAAAAACTTATGGGGTAGAATAGCATTAATCACAAGAAAGGAGAAAAACGTGAGCTGTATATAACAAAAATTTTGACAATAAACTCTGGATTTAAACAAATTTTACATTTAAAAATATATATTTTTAATCACTTACTCTGGTTCTGGATTCTTTGGAGAAAGTCCCCATACTTCAGGAGCTCCCAATTCTCCAATCCTCTCTCTCTCGCTTAATCTCCTAGAAGATATAGGCATGTAAATTATAACTCTGTGGATAAATTGTTTCCTAAACATATAATGAAATTCAAAGGAGTCCAGTTAAGTCTTATTTTCCCTTACATTTTAAAGTTTAAATTAATAAAAACTTGGCTTAAATGTAACTCAACAATTACGATCTGATCCAGCCAAGATGGAGACGTAGGTAGATACACTTTGCCTCCTCACAAAACCAAAAGAAGAACAACAAATTTCAAAAGAAAAAATAATCAGAACTGCCAAAAAATGAAACTGTATGGAAATCTGACAACCACGGAGATAAAGAAGAAACATTCATCCAGACCAGTAGGAGGGGTGGAGATGGGGTGGAGAGGAGCAGCAAGGTGGAGGCTGGAGGACCAGGTAGTCCCACATTTGCATGCGAATGAACCAGAGGAACAGCTGGGAAGTGAGACAGACCACGCAATCCAGGGTTCCAGTGTGAGAAAAGAAAGCTTCAAAACCTCTGTGCGGTTGCAGCAGCAGGAGAAACTCTCAGCCTCACAGGAGAGTTCATTGGAGAGACCCACGGGGTCATAGAACAAACACAAACCCACCCACCTGGGAATCAGCACCAGAAGGGCCCAATTTGCTTGTGGGTAGCAGGGGAAGTGACTGAAAGCCAGCTGAGAGCCGAGCAAGTGACATTGTTCCCTCTGGGACCCCTCCCTCACATACAGTGCCACAGCGCAGTGATGTGGGTTGCCCTGCCCAGGCGAATACCTAAGGCTCCGCCCCTTCCAATGATTTCCAAGGCAGCCGAGACAAAGAAATATGGCCCAAATGAAAGAACAGATCAAAACTCCAAAAATAGAACTAAGTGATGAACAGATAGCTAACCTATCAGATGCACAGTTCAAAACACTGGTAATCAGGATGCTCACAGAAATGGTTGAGCATGGTCCCAAAATGGAGGAAAAGGTGAAGGCTATGCAAAGTGAAATAAAGAAAAATATACAGGGAACCAACAGTGAAGGGGAGGAAACCAGAATGCAAATCAACGATAGTGAGCAGAAGGAAGAGATAAACATTCAACCAGAACAGAATGAAGAAACAAGATTTCAAAAAAAATGAGGAGGGGCTTAGGAATCACTGGGACAATTTTAAACAATCCAACACCCGAATCATAGGGGTGCCAGAAGGAGAAGAGGAAGAGCAAGAAATTGAACACTTATTTGAACAAATAATGAAGGAGACCTTTTTCCATCTGGCCAAGGAAATAGACTTCCAGGAGATCTAGGAAGCTCAGAGAGTCCCAAAGAAGTTGGGCCCAAGGAAGCATACACCAAGGCACATCATAATTACATTACCCAAAATTAAAGGTAAGGAGAGATTCTTAAAAGCAGCAAGGGAAAAGGAGACAGTTACCTACAAAGGAGTTCTCATAAGACTATCAGCTGATTTCTCCAAAGAAACCTTACAGGCAAGAAGGGGCTGGCAAGAAGTTTTCAAAGTCATGAAAAACAAGGACCTACATCCATGATTACTCTATCCAGCAAAGCTACCATTTAGAATGGAAGGGCAGATAGAGAGCCTCCCAGATAAGGTCAAGTTAAAGGAGTTCATCATCACCAAGCCCTTATTACCTGAACTGTTAAAGGGACTGATCTAAGAAAAAGAAGATCAAAAACTATGAACAGTAAAACAGAAGGGAGGGGGAGGGGATTGGAATGGGGGAAAAGGTACAGGGAATAAGCAGCGTAAATAGGTACAAAATAGGCAGGGGGAAGTTAAGAATAGTATAGGAAATGGAGAAGCCAAAGAACTTTTATGTAGAACCCATGGACACGAACTAAGGGTGGGGGGAATGCTTAGGGGCAGTGGAGGGTGGAGGGGAATAAAAGGGAGGGAAAAAAATGGGACAACTGTAATACCATAATCAATAAAATATAAAAAATAACAATCACGATCTGATGTTTTGATAGTACTATCAAGTGGTACAGACTACAAACAGCCTGAGAGGCTGGATCAGAAATGTAGCCTGGGAGGCTGTCAAGTGCATCCTTTCTGCCACACGCGTGACATGGCTTCCAACTGCTTATTTCATCTTCTGCAATGTGTGACAGAAACAGTTTTACATTTGTAAATAAGTTCATTTGTTTACACATATTTATGAAAATAAAAAGGTCAATACTTCTGTTTGGTCAAATCTTCCATTTGCTGACACTCAAGAATTAATGAAGAAAATAGCCCTGGCTGGTGTGCTTCAGTGGGTTGGGCATCAGCCTACAAGGCAAAGGGTCACTGGTTCAATTCCAGGTCAGAGCCTGGGTTGCAGGCCAGGTCCCTGGTTGGGGGCATGTGAGAGGCAACCGACTGATGCTTTTCTAGCACATTGATACTTCTCTCCCTGTTTTTCTCCCTCCCTCCCCCTTTCTCTAAAAAACAAATTAAAAAAATAAATAAAATCTTAAAAAAGGAATTAATGAAGATAAAAATGAAGCATTAGAAGTAGAAAATAAAGAGGGCTTTGAAAAAGAAGATTTATTTGACAAAAATTGTACTCAATGAGATACAGGGTTTGTTTTTCTTTTTTCCATTTAGTTCCTTTTTAGAAAAAGATTACATCTCTATCTACTTTTGGAGGACACACAGTAAAATTTCATGTTTGTGATTTCTTCCCTTAATATTTGCTATTATTACTCATAAACAAACAAACACAAAAAACTAAGGCTCAATTCCTCAAAGTTTAGCAGCTTGTGACTCCATTTGTTAAAAAAAAACTCACAAAACAAATATACTTCTTTATTCAGGGGAAGAGGTATAATCATGCAGAGTCAGGTTTCCCACTTGAAGAAACAGCCTAAAGGGAGATATAACTGAACTTGGAATATTGTGCATACAGGAGGAGGAATGCCTGACAGGCTATAAAGAGCAAGCAGTCAAATTCAACCCCTGTTGCCATCTGTCCTCTTAAAATAAATTATTTATCTTCTAAATGTACAAATGCAAATTTCATGCAAAAGTTCCAACATCTTTTGGTGAGGATTTTCTGGTAAGAAGCTGGTTGCTTTTTGATTGACACAGTCTAGGGACAACTTTCTGAAAAACTTAATTTGGAGAGGCAGGTCTCCAACCTAACGCAGGACCATTTTTACTGTTTCTGTTCCCATGCAGCAAAACCTAGTAATTAACACTTTAAGGACTATTTATTAGGTTCCAAGCACTGAATCATTACAACTATAAAAGCTATTGTACTAATTTTATTCTTTTAGATAGTGAAGAAGTGAAGCTTAGAGAGGTTAAGTAACTTGCCCGAGGTCACACAACTATTAAGTAGCAAAGCAGGGCTTTGAATTCAGGCAGTCTGATTCTGAAGCCTGTCTTCTTCACCACTATGCTTTATGGGCTTCCCACTCCTGGAAGAAAATAATCCATGCAGACATCTCCCGTTTTTGAAACCTTAACCTCAATGCCTGCAATACTTTAACAGTTCTTGTTTTTAATACATAGTGCCTGTAAAGCACTTAGTACAGTGCCTGACACATAATTTAATACTCATTAAGCATTAGATATTAAGACTTAGCAATAATTATAACCAGTTTCCTTTCTACTTCTTAAACTACATTTTCCACTTCAATACTCATTTTCATCAGAGACCTGATCTCACCCTGACCTTACTTTTCATGGTCTAGATTGAGAACACTTAACAAGACCTTTCTCAAAGGAGCCCAATCTACGTTTGAGCAGATCACTTTTCCTTCATTCATTCATTATCTTGTCCTTAGAGGTATTTGTCCTCTCCAATTGAAACCCTTAATCTCAACCCTTCCGACACGCTACAAAACATTTCCACTTACATATCCTGTTATCATCTCAAACCTGTCTGATCATTCAACAAGCAATGGTTGCGTTCCTACGGAGTGCTAAACACTGAATTTTGTAATCAATACAATAGGGTTCCTCCTTTCCATTAGAGCAGTCTAGTGACAAATAAAAACATGCTCACAAATCATAACCACAAAACAAAGTAAATGCTTGTTATAGGGTTCTGGGAGGTCTGAGGCTCTCGGCCAGGTCCGCTAGAAGCCAGGAGACAGGAAAGGGTAGCGGCAGACCAGGGCACCGTATGAAGGGGCCTGAGAATGAGTGAAAACGTAGGGGAATTAAAGAGCGAATAAGGCATTGCAGTAGGTGCACTGAAGGAAGGGATGAAAATGGGCACAAGGGAGGCAGAGAGCGAAATCCGAACAGTCAGTAGGAATGAACTATAAAATTGGACTTGGAAAGTAGGTGGGCGCAAGAGAGGGTGGGCCTCTCACTCACTTCTGTCGCAGACTTTCCTCCCTCTCCTTGTCCAAGAGGCTAGGCCACGGCTTGTCGTTCCCGTAGGGGCGTGAATAGCCGCCATAATAGGCGGACGAGGAGGCAGAAGCGAAGGGGGTGCCCCGCGTCGCAGAGGGCCGCTCTCGAGAGCGTGACCGCGAGCGGGAGCGGTAGGGCTGGTTTCGGGAGCCTTGGCTGAGGCCACTCGGCTGATGGCTGAGGCCATTCCGATCCCCAGACCGAGAACAAGAGTGCGAGCGAGAGCGGCGGCCCCGCGGGGAGCGGGTGGATTTGCTGGGCTTAGGGCTCTTCGACGAACTGCGACGCTTCACCCTGGAGCCCGAGGCCTCCCTCTCCGGGCTGCGCGAACCAGACACCGGAGCCATCGCTGTCGCTGGGTCCCCGAAGCCGGGGAAGAAGGGGGCGCTCTCGCTAGCCTGGGAAGATACTGGTTGCCTCAGCTCCCGGAGGACCTGTCACCGCGCCACAACCCGAACCTAGGGAAACCTTGGAAACAGTTCCGGGTACAGCGACAAATACCTTCCCCGGACCTAGCTCGTGCCGACGGGACGTGATGTGTGTAACCGTATAAAGAAGCCGGAGGGGCAACCGGGTCCGTGCGTTCTTCTGGTTCCCAGGGAGGTTGCTGAAGTCCAAACTGGACTGGAGTACCTGTCCTTTCTTCATTTTCTATTTGAAATACCTGAAGGGAAGGACGGGACGACAGGCCACAGAGCACTTTTCACTGAGCAGCCGTATGAACAACAAACACAATGTAATTTTACATATATTTATGTATATGTGTGTGTATGTAATGTATGCCCCCGCGGGCGCACGCGTGTATGCAGCGCCCTCGCCCTGCCACGTGCAATTTTTCTTTCCAGTTCCCAGCAAAATAAGAAAGGTTTATCTTAATTGGTGTTTAGCTATGATGTCCAAACTCCATATTGCCCAATTAGCTTAGAAGGAACAAATTCTATGTTAATGACTTGAGCCGATACTCTCCAGTTAAGTTTGCACCCTAGAGAAAAATTGCATACTTATCGCCCAGACACCCATCTCCACCAGTGTACTCCAACAAAAGGAATTTGTAAAGCGCCCCCCTCCTTGTCCGGCCCCTTAAACTAGTCCCGTCATTCACTAGCTCAGTAATATACATGGTCATTACTGATCATTACTTCTATTCGTTTTACACTGTTTTTAAACCAAAGAGCATTGGAGTACTAGTTCTACTGATTCTAATTTTTTAAATTTTATTTATTTATTTTTAGATAGAGGGGAGGGGAGGGAGAAAGAGAGGGAGAGAAACACCACTGTGTAGTTGCCTCTCGCGCGTCCCCAACTGGGGACCTGGCCCAGCAACCCAGGCATTTGCCCTAGACAGGGAATCGGACCAGGGACCCATTGGTTCGCAGGCCAGCGCTCAATCCACTGAGCTATACCATTTAGGGCTACCGACTTTAAGTTTTGAAGGCACAATGAGTTTGCTGTGGAAATTCTGAACCAATTCTACTAGCAGCTAGACGGCCTCTGGGCCTTTCTTCCTAAGAAGTAACTTATCAGACAATGAGAACCAATGCCATTAATTACTGGAAAACTCCTTTTTTTTTTTTTTTTTTTTGGAATTTAAAGGAAAGATGTATTACATAATGTTAAATGGAACAAATGGACCAAACTATTGGATATCTTTTTTTACATTTGGTGAATAGAGGTAGATTTTTTTTTCTTTTAGATTTATTTATTTTTAGAGAGGAGAAGGGAAGAAGAGAAACATCAATGTGTGGTTGCATCTTGCACGACCCTGCTGGGAACCTGGCCTGCAACCCATGCATGTGCCCTACACTGGGAATTGAACTTGTGACCCTTTGCCTCGCAGGCCGCACTCAATCCACTGAGCCACACCAGATAGACCTGAAGTAGAATCTTATTTGATGATAAAATACACCATGAATTATTCACATTGGTACTTCCACTCAAGACTACTGAGATTTTATTTAACCTCAATAATCTTAGATTTGTATTGCCTTTTTTTCCACACAAAAATTCCAGCTCTCAATGTCCCCAGTATAATTATTCATTTACTTTATTACACAATATACATATAGCAGTGTCAGTGTAAAAATACCAACACTACCACCAACAAAAGAATTACTGAAAAGAGTTGAAGATTTTTTCTTTTATTATTTTTATCCTTAGGGCATACCTCCACTAGGGATGGATGATGAAATTACTGTGTCTTAAGCTGACATGAAATTGTTTATCTCCACGTGGTTATGCCACTAATTTAATACACAAGCTCATTTGTTTAATTTTACTTTCAATATTTAGGGACTAATTTTATTTATTTTTGTTGTATAATTATGTTGAATATCTTGTATGTAAAAACAATCGGTCATGGGTGAGAACCAAGAAACAAAGTAAGAGAAGTTATATTATTTAGGATAGAGATTTGGGGAAATTTCTAATAAAGTTTTGAATGGAAAACCTACATCTAACTTTCGTGACACCAGGCTGAGCACTTTTACACCAATTGCCTCTAAAAGTGAACTTTGCAACAGTGCTTGTTCTACCTGCCCATTATCATGCACTTTAGTTTCAATGAGAAAACTCCTGCCCCTGCACTTCTGATTGGCATGATACTCTTCTTGCTCAGTTGCCTTGGAGAAGCCTGTGTTTCTCCAATGGGAAGTGAGGGGGGAGTCAGAGCACATAGGCAGTCACAGAGGTGGGGCAGAGGTTGAGTCCTGTTGAAACCCAACCCAGCCAAGACAAAAAAAATCATTCATCCTTACATGGATCCATTCTTTATAGGAGTTAAATAGATTGTGTGTTATGGGCTATGATGTATTCAGCTTCCATTAACTACTTCTCTTTGCAATCTGAGTTGCTTGGGCAGGTGCATGGCTGCCACCCAGAGCACCAAGGCAGGGATCTGGGTTGTGGAAATGGGGGTTGAGGAAGTGGGAGTTGGGAAGACCAGTTTGTAGCCTGTGTCCATTTGAATTTGTAGGTGCTTTCCAATTATACCAACAATTGTTTAAGAAGTTGTGAGACTAAAACAAAGTTTTAAATCACCAATATGTTTTGAAAGGATCTATGGGCTCAAGCCCTGAACTGCATATTTTAAAAAATAATTTTCTTCTCAAATATTTCTTGGTCGATACAAACTTTCTCTCTAGTAACTCTACTGGGGCGCTGGCTTTGTTGGTTCCTCTAACACCTGAACTGATGCTCCATTTGTAGGAAGAAGTTTGATTATATTAGGCCTCTAGATGTATGGAAAATTCTCAAACTTTTGGGTCAGCCAATACAAACTTCATATTAGAAATACCATGCCATAAATGGACAATTATTTCTAGTTTAACCTCATTGGGAGAAGTTGTGCCTGCCAACAGGTAGAAACATGGATGGAGCCTGTGGGAGTGTTCTGATGACCAAAAATAACATAGTATGAAATGGAATGATGTAACCCTTGCAGGATATATTTTAGCTAACGATCCTATGTGTGTGTGTGTGTGTGTGTGTGTGTGTGTGTGTATGTGCGCATGCGTGTGTGTATACATGCATACGCATATACAAGATAAAGAGAGGAAAGAGTGACTAATACACCAGGCCCTAGAGAATAGGATGTTGATCAACTATACTAGAGGCTAGTGCTGAGTGTGAGGAAGCTCATCCTTAACATCTGAGAGGGTGGAGAATGAGGAAGCGCCAAAGCTTCGCACACCACCCAGATCTTGAAGCAAGCCAATGGTTGTGATGTCACAGATTCCAAATAAAATTGAACAAATATCAGTTTGCATCTATGTGTGAAAGAGGAGAAAAGGGAAAGGAAGATAAATACAGCTAAAGAAGATACAGCCCGCTTTTCTGCATTGCTTAACTCCAATTTACTGATGTTCTTTATTTGTGGCATTTAGGTACAAAACTTTTGTTGTGATGATATAAAGATAAATGCTATTTTTTCTTACCTTTGCTATTTCTTTAAGGGCAAATGTTAATATGGAACTGTGGCATTTGAGTTTCTCAGGTTGTAGCCTTCTTCTCTTCCTCCTCTTTCTCCTTTTCCACGTCCCTTTCCCCCCTTTTTATGCTTTAAAAATGAAAGAACAGAAGTTCCTCAAAATGCAGTTTTGCAAAATTTAACCAACACTATATGAAGTACTTTTATATCTAATATCAGATGAACCACACCAATTAACTAAAACCCCAAAAAAGGCACATATTGAAAACATCGGATCCAAGTGTGTGGAGATGCTAGCAATGTTTATGCTTTGACGCTGTCTTGTGCTTTTTTTTGAGGAGGGTCTTGTTGTTAAAATAAAAACTAATAGACTTAATTTGTAGAGCTGTTTTAAGTTTACAGAAAAATTGAGCAGAAAGTACAGAGTTCTCATATACTCTGTCTCTTCCTCTGCCTCCCACTCCTCCCTCACAGTTTCCCCTATTATTAATATTTTGTATTACTGTATATTTGTTACAGTTGATGAACTGATATTGATAAATTATAATTAACTGAAATCCATGGTTTACATTAGGGTTCACTCTTTGTGTTGTGCTTTCTATGGGTTTTGTTAAATGCATGATGTCATGTATCTACTGTTACCATATCATACAGAATAGTTTCACTGCCCTAAAAAAATCCCCTGTGCTCCACCTATTAATCCTTTCTTTCCTGCTCTCTTCCCCTTCCACTCCCCCCAAAACTCCTACTAACCACTGATCTTTTTACTGTCCCTACAGTTGTTCCTTTTCCACAATGTTATGTAGTTGGAATCATACTCGCTTCTTTAACTTAGTGATGTGTATTTAAGTTAAGGTTCCTCCATGTCTTTTCATGGCTTGATAGCTCATTTCTTTTTATCACTGAATAATATTCTGTTGTATGGATTCATCACAGTTTTTCTCTTTACCTATTGAAGGACTTCTTGGTTACTTACAGGTTTTGGTGATTATGAATAAAGTTACTATAAACATTCATGTGCACGTTTTTGTGTAGTTGTTCCAGCATCATTTGTTGAAAAGACTGTCCTTTCTCTATTGAATTGCCTTTGCTTATTTGGTAACGATCAGTTGACTATATTTATGTGAGTCTACTGCTGGGCTCTCTATTCTGTTCCACTCACCTGTTTTTTTGTTTTTTTTTTTTTACTCTTTAGGCAATGCCACAATATATTTACTGCTGTAGCTTTATATTGAGTCTTGAAGTTAAGCAGTGTCAGTCTTCTGGCTTTGTTCTTTTTCAGTATTAATTTGGCTACTTTGAGTCTTTTGCTTCTCCATATAAACTTTAAGATCAGTTTCTCAATTTCCACAAAGTAACTGGCTGGGCTTTGGTTGGGATTGTGTTCAATCTATAGGTCAAGTTGGAGAGAACTGACATGTTAACAATATCAAGTCTTCCTATCCATGAATATAGAATATCTCTCCATTTATTTAGCTCTTTATTAATTTCTTATATCAGAGTTTTTTAGTTTTCCACATATAGACATTGAGATACTACACATATTTTGTTAGGTTTATACATAAGTATT